CTGCGAACTCCGCTGCAACTGCACATGCCGCAACTCCTGCGAAAAACCTGCGAACTCCGCTGCAACTGCACATGCCGCAACTCCTGCGACAAACCTGCGAACTCCGCTGCAACTGCACATGCCGCAACTCCTGCGACAAACCTGCGAACTCTGCTGGTCGAACACCACCAAACTCCTCTGTTTGCAAACACTCCTGTTCGCAGTAACTGCACACGAACTCCTGTTCGCGAACTCCACCTCGCCTAATGCCGCGAAGGTTCATGAACTGTCGCGCCTCAAAATCGCGACGCCACCTTTACCGCGAACTCCCCGAAGCATAACTCGCCGAACTGCTGTAGCCCTTTATCCGAACTACTTCGCATCTGTTCGTTCCCGGGAGCCCGTCCGCCTTGCGAACAATTTTGATCCTGCAACAAAAACTTTTCTGCAAAAAAAAATCACCTGCGCAAAAAATCCTTGCTTGGAACATCTTTTTTTTTTTTTTTTTATAAGAAAAGAAAAAAAAATTTGAAATCTTCGAGCAAAGCAAAAAATTTCCTCTCCGCCTCCAAGAAAAGAAATAAATATTTCCTTTATTTCCTCTCTTTATTCAGCAAAGAAAATTTGTAATTAAATTTGCTTAATTTAATTTTAAATTAGCTTAAAAAAAAAAAGAAAAAGCTTTCCTCGTTCATAGTATTTCATTTATTTCCTCTCCGCAAAAAAGGAATGAATTCAAACAGAGCCTTCCAATTTCTTTCCAGCTTTCCTGAAATCGGACCCAACTTCCTTCAATCTGAGGGAATATTCCTCTAATATTCCCTCCTGATTCCTTTCCAATTACTTCCTGCGCCAGCCTGCGGTTCTCAGCGGAGAAATCAAAGATTCCTTCCCTAATTTGTTCCTTGGTCCGCTCCTTTCCTGGTCTGCGAACCAACCTTCCTTTACAGCAGCAAATCAGACCTTCCCTCTTGCGCCTCCTGCCGCCGAACAGCTTTTCTGCGCACAGCTTTCAGGCAAGCCTCCTTCGCGATCGATCCTCCGCCCTGTCGCAGACGCCTCCGCTTTTCGCTGCTTCTACCTGTCCCAAGCCTCCGCCGAACTTTGGAACCCTCACCGAAATTTTCCTTTGGAGCGCCGACGAAAATCGGAACCCAAGAGCCGATCCGCCTGCAAATCTGCGTCGTGGGCCGAATACCTCGATTTCGAACCGAAGCCACGCAGATCCCGAAACTTCTCTTTCCAGAATCCCCCCAAATCGTTCTTCTTGCTTCCTGCGCCGCCGCAGTTTTCTTCCCTGCCCCCAAACCTG